GGTTGGAGTTCCAAACCAAGGTCTAGGAACGTATTTATTTCAGAGCTGAAAGTGGTTAAATCTGACGATACTGCGAAGGGAGTAAGTGTAGCTATAAAAGGAACTGTTGTCCACGGCTTGAGCCACCCATCTGTCAGAAGTCTAGGAGATGAGGAACATATGTTACTTGCCAGAAACAGGGTTAAGAAAGAGAAGTTAATTTGAAAACATACTTCACAGAAACTCAAGTTACCATATGACCCAGCATTTCTACTCCTAGGTATGTACCTAGGATGAAGTAAAAACATATGTCCACATGAAAACTTGTACAGAAATGTTTACAGCAATATTATTCACAATAATAAAAAACTGGAACAGCCACAAATGTCCATCAACCAATAAATGGACAAACTGGTATGTCCATAAAATATTTAGCCATAAAAAGAATGAAGTACTAAAACGTGCTACAACACAGGCAAACCTGGAAAACAATGTAAGTGAATGAAGCCAGTCACAGAAGACCATCATACTGTATGATTCCAGTTACACAGAATGTTCAGAATAGGCAAATTTAGACAGACAGAAAGTAGATTTGTGCTTCCTTAAAGCTGGAGAGATGAGGGGAAAATAGGAGTGACTACTAATGGATACAGGATTTCTTTTGGGGGCAATGAAAATGTTCTAAAATTGTGTGCAGATGACTGCATAACTCTGTGAACATACTAAAAACCACTAAATGTACATTTTAAACAAGTGACTTGCCTGGTAGGTAAATATTACCTCAATAAAGCTGCTGCAGTAACAACCCCACCAAAAAAAAGCCCTAAAATTGGAGAATTCACAGAACAGAACTGTTTACTTATATCCTTTTTTGATGCTCAGCCCAAATCTAAACATTTTCTTCCATACATTATGATAGTAAACTTACAAAGTAAAAGTTAGCTGTAGAAAATCTACAAAGATGAACAAAAGATATAAAGAAGAAAGTTAAAAATCATCCAAAAATTCATACACTTTCGAACTTCAGGTGAGTCCTTTTTTAATCATCCCCCCCCCCCGCTTATCTACATTTATTTTGGTCAAAACAAACCTGAAACCATACTGGATAGCTTTATTTTTTTAATTGAAGTATAGCTGATTTACAACATCATTAGTTTCTGGTGTACAGCACAGTGATTCGGTTATATACATTTTCTTTTGCTTTATAGGTTATTAGAAGATACTGAGTACAGTTCCCTGTGCTATACAGTAGACCTTTGTTGTTTCTCTCTCTTATATATAGTAGTTTGTATTTGCGAACCTCAAACTCCTAATTTATCACTCCCCCTCCCTTTCCCCTTTGGTAACCAGAAGTTTGCTTTCTATGTGAGTCTGTTTCCATTTTGTAAATAAGTTCATTTGTATCATTTTATATTCCACATATAATCAAATGATATTTGTCTTTCTCTCTCTAACTTACTTCACTTAGTATGATGATCTCTAGGTCCATCTTTGTTGCTGAAAATGGAAAAATGTGTTCTTTAGATACCTATAATACATTATACAGTTGCACGACAACATAATTAGTCTTTTAATTTTAAGGCATTTTAAAAGTTTCCATGTTTACTATTACAAATAGCCCTTTACCTGACTCTCTGAATAAACTCTATTTGATATGAACAGTTTTCTAGAAATGGAATTACTTT